TAATAGAAAACCCTATTTTTGATGCCAGCAATCGGAAGAGCGAAAAATTTTACGTTCAAATGCAAATTGAAGACTATGGTCATAGTGACCACTAAAGGTCAACTGAAGGTCGAGTGTGTGATGCTAAGAAACCCACTATGAATCTTACAGGATTGGTGATAAAAATAACTATCAAGGTCGGTAGTTCGGTAAATTCTGACAAGTCATCTTGGATTTGACTTTGATCCCCACCGTTAAAGTCATGTGAAGGTCAACGTTATTTGTTTAACGGAAATCCCTATTTTTGATGCCGAAAGTCGAAAGAGCGGAAAATATTACGTTCAAATAAGAATTTTAGGTCAAGGTCATGGTGACCACTGAAGGTCAAATGTGTGCTGCTAGGAAAATCTTACAGGATAAATGATGAAAATAACTATCAAGGTGAGTTCTTTGATTAGTCATCTACGATTTGACCTTGAACCTCACCTTCAAGGTTATTCTGGGGTCATTTTGTTTTCAAATAGATTCCGGCAGGAACAGTATCGGTTAAAAACCATTTGTTGCGACCACCGTAGTTATTTCGTTTAAACTTACGCAAGGATCTGACCTTGCCAGTTATTTTCGGCGCTATTCGCGTGCGAAGTTTTCCTATCAGCACACATTTGGCCTTTATGTGACCTCTAATGCTTTCTTTGACCTTGAATTCTAATACACATTTGATCATTAAACTTCCGGCTCTCGGGATTGTCGGCTGCGGGTTTCTATTTAAAAACAAATTACCTTAAAGTGACCTTGAAGGTCAAGTCCAAAGTCAAATCCAAGATCACTCATCAAAATTTACTACAGGCCTGACCATGATAGTTATTTTCATCAATAATCCTGTGATATTTATAGAGGTTTTCCTAGCACCACCCATTTGATCTTCATTTGACCTTTAGTAGTCAACCTGACCTTGAACGTGTGAACGTAAGACGTGTTCTTGCGATTGTCGGCATCAAAAATTTGAAAAAATATAGTTGAACGTAGTTAACCTTGAAGGTGAAGGTCAAATTTAAGGTCACCGCTGAATGTTACTGAAATCCCGACATTGATATTTTCCAAAAATATCTTTTCCGAGTACATACAGAGCCGTTCCGGGACTTTTGTGTCACGCTGTATATAAATCAGAATCACTCGATCAAATGATAATTAAAATCTAAAGCATACAAAGATTCCAATTCCCCATAGCCCTATAAACTAGTTACTATATAGAACTTTGGTATATGTCACCCTACACCTGACACCAAAATGTACTGAGTCAACATGCTGCATGACACATTAATGTCGTTATAGTATTCAACTTATTACAAAAAACAATCAAGTGAAAAATCTTCTATAGACCACCCGCAAAGATATTTTCAATAATACAATTTTGGAACAAGGTTATTGAATCATAAAAAATATGGCTATCATTTTGCAAGGGCTAGCTCCGCAATTCAACAAACTCAAAAGAATTAAAAACTGTACTTGCAGTCACGCAACTACAGCAGTTATGAACTAACGTAGTTAGATCGGTTCATCTAACCAACCATCAAAATGGAGCATTACTAACTTTAAATGAGCCAGTTCTGTTCATATTAGCTTTATTTCCAAATCCTTATACTGACGAGCAGTCTTACAATGCCTTAATCTTGACACATTGCAGCGTGTAGTGTCCTGGTTCTAATATATGTTTACCAACGTAACTAACAAAACTTGTGGTTGCTCTGCTAGGTTATCTACAGAAAGGCTTTCATCTTTTCATATTTAAAAATAAATGTCAATGTCATTTTAACACGCCCGTTAGTATAAGGAAGAATATACACCGTTGAACAACCACTTCTTATTTTCTTTTATTATTTGCCAAAGTAGAGTGCTTTCTTTAACAAAAAATCATAGCAAAGAGCTCCGCTAACAACTATTCAGCAATAAACGATTTGAAAAAAGTGTTTATACATGTGTATTTATTTCATATATACATAAAATGTAAGATATATGTTGATGTATACGCTTATTAAGCATTTAACGGTATTTTTGGAACAAACAGTGGTATTTTCGGTGGAGTGTACTTACCTCAATCCTAGGTACGGCAATAAACGCGCCAGGCGTTATTGAATCAGTATAGCAATATCTTCTGAAGGCACCATGATGGTGACACGACACAGCAACACGTCAACAAGACAAAAGCGTCTGTTTCTATACTCTAGGCGCTGAAGAAAGAAACTAAACCCAAACAAATACACGCATATTGCTCGTGAGTGAGTGTTTAGGCGCAGGAGACATTACAGGACCGCATCAAGATATTATGGGTAGTCATCAAAAATTTCATACCAAATAATTATTATCTTTTACAGTAAATTTCAGTTAGAGATTCACAAATGAGTTAACTACACTTTTTAGTTATTAGTAAGTAAGCTGCGCGCACTCATTCAGAAGAGGAACTTGAATCTTCTGAATCGTTTAAATGAATTATTAGAGGTTCAATTTGGGTATCGATGACATTGTCCAAATCCCACATTTTGACCTCAACCTTCTCCCGAACGTGGCGGATACAGTTTTTCCATTCCTCTGCCGTAACTCTATTGACTGCGATGTGAAAGAGATTTTTAACATCAGAAAATTTATAAGTATTATTATTCGACGCCACGTATTGCTTTATGTTGGCCCAAATCAGCTCAATAGGGTTCAGCTCACAATGGTAGGGTGGCAGTCTCAAGACAGTTTTATTTTGTTTTTTGGCCATTTCGTCGATCATTTTAAAATCGTATTTGTATTTATGTCTATTGACTATACTTATCAATTCACCCTTTGACCATTGTTTCATCAAAATCGATCTGTTTTGAGGCCAGCCATTGTTGTATGTTTGCTTTTTTAGTTGCCATTGTGGGAATTTTTTCTATTTTTCTAGAATGGTACGGGGCATTATCCAGTACAATAACAGCGTTATTCTCCAGCTTTAGTAACATTTTGGAGAACCAATTTTCAAAGGAATTGCCGTCCATCTCCTCATGATAGTCCCCTGTCTTTTTTTATTCAAAGGCCCACAGTGCTTCGGGAACAAAGCCGTCTTCACTACCTACGTGACAAATGATCAGCCGATTGCCTTTTCCTGGAAATAAATTATTCCTTACACTATGGATTGATTAAATTTGAAGGAATGAGGCAATTGAGTTCATTTAGCTGAATTTAAGAGTCACGGAATGCTGATCAAAAACTGAAAAACGTAGAAAATTGAAGTTTGCAACTTCTCAAAACCCATTCAAAGCAAATTGACTGCACCCAAAAATGATAATAAATTTCAAAATAACGCTTAAAAGAGGGTCGAAGTTTTTTTCCTAATGACTACACTGCGAATGCACCATTTTTGGAGAATATCACACATTATCTGCTATCACAGCATATTATTGGCCCGAATTTATCAAAATTAAGTTGCCGGATAGATGAAGGAGCTTACCTGCAGGATTTTTCAATCCAGCCGAAAGACCGTCTAGAAAAGCCTGCCTTGATGATGTTACTGATTTGTCGACCCAAACTTTCGCTTGAGTATGTCCAGCATTCACCCACGTTTCGTCCAAATAGTAAATTTTTCTTTTTTCATCGCGAAACTTCCGAATCTTCCTAAGGTATTCCCTTCTCCACACAACAATTTCTTCTTTCTCTATTAACATACTGTTTCTTCCCCGTTTCAAGAATCAAAAATTAAGTTCCTTCAAAAGTTTTCGGAATGTGGTTCTTTTAAATGATGGAAGATCCTCATCAGCATTAACTAATCTTAATATCTTATCTACTGTAGGTATCTCATTTCGGAAGAAAAAATTATGCACTTTCCTCCTGATGGCAGTTCTGTCAAAGTCATCTACTCCGTCCGTTATCCTTTTTCTTGCAGGATACGGTTTTGGCTCAGAAAGTGAGTGAGTGCTCCTATATTCCTTAATGATCCTATAAACACTGGACCGACATACTCCAGAAATATGTGCTACCTTACATATATCTTCGTCCACGACCAAATCGGGTTTTTCTTGAATTTGGTTTTTGTATATATTTAATATTATTTGTTTTTCACTTAAATGTAGCTTCTTAGCCCTTTTTTTGGGTGGGGTTGCGCTGATGTCAACCACTTCGTCGGCTGTATCTGTGTCAGACATCGTATCTTAGGCAATATATAAACAAAACGTTCCACTCGCGAAAAACGAGTATACGCTACTGAATGCGTAATGCGTATGCAATGCAATCCTGTGCGTGAATTAACTGTTAGATGCCTGTCGTGTCATCTACAATCACGTTTACAAGTCCAAACCTGTTCAGATTCGTAGAGCGCCGACGACTGCTAGTGACCTTGAATTTGTCTGTAGATCGATGTTACTCCAGTCAATTTAGGTTCAAAGTGGATGTTTTCTAAACCAATTTGTTGTTCCTACATCAAAAATATATCGATGATGTTTTGTACTGGGAGCTCATGAAAGATCAAGGTAACTTATTTTAACAGTCATCCTTTTTCTAGTCTCAAGATGACACGAAAAAGGGTCTGTGGATTCACTAGAAATACACTGCCGAGGATGTTTAGACCTAAAGTGACTGGAGTATATCCGTGGATGCTTTCGAGGGATCTGTTCACGTGCTGATCACTGTTTACGTTTAATGTCTTTCTTCAGCGCCCAGAGTTTAGAGTATGCTATCAACTAATTACTGTCAAGAAATTTCAAGTTGATAGTCCAATTCAACATATGGGAATAAAACAGTGTAATTTCATCAATACTTCAAGAAAAACAGCCCCAAAACTTCACAATGCACATTCTGAAGACTGGATTTAATTATTTCACATTGACGTAGCGTAAAGATAAAAAGTGATCAACGTTTCACCAACGAATGTAACTGTTTGGGCCGAAATTCAATATTATGTACAAATGCACGTATTATTTTTCGAGACTGTTGTAGTCTAGATCTATTTATTTTTAGTGATATTCATTAGTTACCCAATCAGAGGTACAGCGAAAGCACTCAAGGAATTGTTAATGGCTTTTATTTATTACTTTTTATAATCAATACTTCATTTGTGATCCAAAAATGTATACTCATGACTGTATTGAATAAATATATATGATACATGATAGTAGGTTGTTTTATTTTTTAACACTGTTTATGCACATGCCCAGCCGCTCCAAAGTGCTTCTTTTGCCTAGGATGCTTATCATTTCTGCTACACTTGGTCCTTCCTAAAAATGTATGGCCCAAAATATAGAATATTCATTAACACATAAAAGATATTTTTTAGCCCTCTAACTTTTGACCTTCAATGAATCTATTGAAGGTCAAAAAATAAAATAAATTCATTGCCATCAGCAATTGTTCATCTTTCAAAAAATTAACTAAATGAACCTCGACTCCTTATTCTGTTACGTTAAATACATCCTATTAGCTAAAACTACAGTATATTCAGATAAGAGATAGACCGGACATAAACAAGACCACGTGATCATCGAACGCTGTAACATTCGGCAGGGACGTATTAAGAGTCACGCAGTACATATTTTAGATAGTAGATGCTGCTTTGCGTAACTTTGTAGTAAATTAGCACAATTCGATGTGTATACGATTGGTGATGGATATAGGATCATGTGGGGGTGGGGTAAGAAATATATAATGATGTAAATATACATAAGGGTTTCAAAATTTTCGCTTCGATTTCCAGCTTCGGATGCCGCCTGATGTTTGGTGAAATACAGTCGAATATAATCTCAAAATGGCGTTTAAATTAGCCTAAATTAAAAATAATCGTATATCTCTTAAAATTGCTTTTAGAATATGTAACCAAATTAAAACGTTCAAAACGTAAAAAAATGTGCATGGTTGAACATTGTCAGAAAGTAGATTCTTGAATAGGTTTTGCCAAAATGGGTTCAAAAATGTCAATAATTAATTAAAAAATACAGTAGCTTTATAATTACTTATAACTTACCGAATTTGATGAACGACATCTTTTATTGGAAAGATGAGCTTGATGAGCTTTCATCATCGCTACTGCCTGAAGCACCAACGTCAATAATGAATGGCTCGACTTGTTCCTCTAAAATATTGTCCAGTTCCCACATTCTCTTTTCAACTTTGTCTTTCACGTGCTTAATACAGTTTTCCCATTTTTGCGCTGTTATTAATTCTAGTGCTTCTTTGAAAAGTCCTTTGAGGTCACAAAATTTAAAAGTTGTATTGTGCTTAGCTATATAATTTTTAACCTCTGCCCATATGAGCTCAATGGGATTGAGCTCGCAATGGTATGGAGGTAAACGGAGCACAGTTTTATTTTGACTTGCTGCCATTTCGTCAATGGCGTATTTTTGATATTCCGCCTTGTGATCCTTGACAATTCTTAATAATTGTACTTTCAGCATTGCTTCTTCAAAGTTGATATTTTTCGAGCGGAGCCAATTTTGAACATCAACTTTCCTTGAAGCCGTTGTTGGGACCTTCTCCATTCTTCGAGAATGATAAGGCGCATTATCCAACACAATTACTGCGTTTTCCTCTAAGTTCGGTAAAATTTTTGAAAACCACTGTTCAAACGATTCGCCATTCATTTCCTCGTGGTAATCTCCAGTTTTCTTAGACTCAAAGCACCACAGACCGTCAACAACAAATCCATCCTCACTGCCAATATGGCAGATAATGAGCCTTTTCCCTTTACCTGGAAATCGAAGTACTAACTGGTGTAGATTTATTTCAATAAGCGAACCTTTTTCAAATGTTTTCATCACATTCAGCGAAAAAACATTGAGACATGAGTATCAGATTGCTATAATTGGGATTATTTAGTCATATTGGAAGAAAGAATATTGAACGTCGTATGATTACTCAGCGCTTCACAATTTAATTTAAAGTTATAAACCTTTAAAAAATGAATGATCAGGAACCTGAAATACGCGCAAATATTAATATTAACAAATTATAACTTTATAAAGCTTAAAGTATGAATTAAAATGATTAGAAATATTAGGAACGGTACACAATATAAAACTTAGTAACTTTTTTTAAGTTTATAATATTCGACATATTTTAAGATTATGTTAAAAAATTATTGAAATATCGAAAACACATAAAAACATGGCTTAAAAAAGTTCTAACAAATGAAAAAGACAATAAAACATCCACGCATTTTATCGAAAGTTATAAAAGTTTTGTTACTTGTAATATGTTTTATCTGCCCCCTGGAATTAATGTTTAGAACCTTGTTCCCAAGGTTTGAAAAACATCCGATTGTTGTCTATTACTCGTATTTACCTGCTGGATTTTTTAATCCGGTGGACAGTCCATCTAGAAAGGCCCTCCTGGATGAAGTTACAGAATCATCAACCCATACTTTACTTGTAGTGTGTCCTGCGTTTACCCACGTTTCATCAAGGTAATAAATCTTCCTGTTTTGATTTCTATATTTCCCAATTTTTGTTAAATAATCCCTCCTCCATAGCACAATTTCTTCTCTATCCAGTAGTAAACTATTACGACCCCGTTTTTTCCATTTGAAATTTAAATGCTTTAGTAACTCATGGAAAGTTGATCGTTTGAAATTTGGCAACGTTGTATCTCCAGTTACCTCCTGCAGTACTTTATCTATAGTAGGTATTTCATTCCTAAAGAAGAATTCATGCACTTTCCTCCTAATCGCATGCTTATCAGCTTCATCCAATGATTTAACAATACTTTTGCGATGTTTACTGGTCATTGGCTCAGAAAAGGTGTGATTTTTTTTGTATTGTCTTAACACATTAAACACTGATGCGCGACACACCCCAACTTTGTGAGAAACCTTCACAACAATTTCTTTGATGGTTGATGCCTCGTTCTCCTCGCGCTCGATCTTATATATATTCAAAATAACCTCTTTCATTTCTGCACTCAGGTGTCTTTTTTTAGAGCGTTTCCTAGTTGGACTACAGGAGTTTACAACTTCATCGGCAGTATCTGTACTACTGGGCATTTTGCGCAAGCAGTTGATAACAATAACAATCAATAACAAGGTATAACAATAACAATGACAAACTCAACAACTTAATAAGATAACAAACGAAAACGTCCAAAGAAATATCAAATTGCAATGATGCACACGACATACGTAACACGTCTGAACCTGAATGTGACTCTGCCTTGATACGACTGCTCTGCCGCTCGGCATAGGCATTTAATTGCGAATTGACCAATGAGGGCTCCTGTTTTACGTCGAGACGGCGGCGTTAGCGTGAAAATCACCCGAACCTTTTGTTTACATCCGGTCTATCTCTTATCTGAATATACTGTATATAGTAAGAAAAGAAAGACCGGCAATATCTAGGACTCACCTTTAGGCCACTCAAAATGTACCTCAACGTCTTCATAAACTCTCCAAACTTTATCTTATTTTCCTTACAAAACGACCTCATGAATAAGTTCAATTTATCGGTGTGCAGTTCATCAAGATCCTCAAATTTCTTTTTAAATAAATTTATGACATACATCTTATCCTCGGAGACATTTTGCGCTGTCGGTATCGCCCAAATAAATTCGAAATTTTTCTCTGTCAAATCGGAAAGTTTCGAAATACGATCTACAGACCACTCGAGTATATTTTTTATATAATCGTCATCTAATTGTAGTGAACCCTCTTGAACCCTTAAAAACAAATTAATTGTTAGCCAAAGGACCACAATATGAAGAAAATATTACCTGCTGCGGTATTTGTCCTTTAACATCTGTTTTAAATCGGCCACTAATTTAGTTTTTTCATTTTTATCCTCGATGTGTTTTTTCAAAGCTAACCTATTAAACTCAAGTAGTCTTTCGGACATTAATTTTCCAGAGCTAGGATTTATTCTTGACACGTCAAACTGCAAACGAGAATTCAACGATTAAAATCTGTAGTGTACAATGTGAAAATATTTCATACTTGTTCAGCTAATTCTTCTACAGTATAACACTTTGGTTTCAAATGTCTCTCTAAGTCTTTAGTAAATCCCCCACCAGAATGCACTATGAAATTCAAGAGGGCTAAAGGGAATATTCCATTCTCCCTGTAATAACTGATCTTCACATCACCTTGTCGTTTACTTAATTTTGTCCCATCGGAATTCATCAATAATGGGAGATGGGCGAACTTTGGTGGTTCCCAACCAAACGCTCTAAAAAATATAACACGATAATCCAAAAAATAGGAATATAAGAAACAAATAATTATTAATAAAACTAAATTAGATTTCTACTTGCTCAGTTTCTTTAAAAGCCTGGTTACCTGTAAAGCAGTAGATGTTTCGTGGTAGAAATCTGCCACTCTACGCCTCGCAAAACATGTGAAACATTCATAAAGTGATCATCTACCACATTAGCAAAGTGATAAGTGGGAAAGCCATCAGATTTTACTATAACTGGATCTCCCTCATTTAGAGAAATATTGTATGATATTTGGCCATAAACCAGGTCTTCAAAACTCTCCTCTTTGTCACTTATCTGGAAAAATATGACAAATATGACTCACAAAAATCGTTAGTCTATATCTTGATCCTGCCTGATGTTACAAGCTTGGATCGAAATAATTTCCGTATATCGTTAATTCCGAACGCCTCAAATGACGTAGGTTGAAAATGAAAAGACTTTTGTCTCTTTGATCCCATAAAAAATGCATCTCAGAAGTCCCAGTGCAAAGAATATTTGTATTTTGAGACTCATGATGTTAAATATGAAGCTTGATAATATCGTTTTCCTAAACATATTACCAACTTTGAACCTTATACAAGATGGGTCACCCCTCTGCAGCCTGGTTGTTACTTCTTCTTTTGACAGGTCTCTACATTTATTATCATATTTTGGAATCTCCTGGGCCCGTACTGCTTCCTTTCTGAGCAGTTGAAGACGTTTTTCAGTACAGAAACAATGATAAGCTGATCTGTTTTTCAAAAGGACTTCAACCTGATTCCTGCAAAGAATTGTGGATTTTAAAGGGCGACCCAGAACTATGAGAGAACGTATTTATAAAAATCTATCTGCTGTAGCATATGGCATATAGCGTCCACAATATTACCTTGGAATTCCAAAAGAGCCAAGTCTTGTCAAAAATGGGACAGGTTGCATATGGTAAGATTTCCGCCACTGTGACACAATCAAACAATTTTGAAAAGGTAGATGATGCAATAAAAACATATGTGGCGTACTTTGAGGTTGTTTTCCTTGAGAAATCGGCAAAGGTAAGGTTTTTTTATAGGTACCTTTTTTTATACTAAGTGACATATAAATCCGAACACCCAGTTTAAATGGTTTTATTTTAATAAAAGTTGGTGAATGTATTTATCTTACTGTAAATAACAAGTGAAAAAATTTTCAGCCTTATCAGTTGGACATTCCGGTTTTTATACTGCTTTTTTTTCAATTCACTAACGCCCTAAAAATGAATATTTCAGCCGCAGTAAAGAATCAACGTTGGCGGATTTTGGTTCTTGACATCCTTTACGATCAGTTACGATGCCTAGAGTACGGAGACCTGTACGATTTCGTCAACTTAGTGAGTTTGATAGCGGCCGTATAGTGGGACTTCGGGAAGCTGGACTTTCTTTTCGGGCAATTGCAGTTAGAGTGCAAAGAAGTGTAGACACTGTGGTTGGGTGTTGTCAGGCATGGCTTCGAGAAGGCCGTACGCAAAGAGCAAGGGGCACTGGACGCCGCCGTAGAACAACAGACCGTGAAGATCGCCGCCTAAGATTATTGGCCTTAAGGGACCGTTTCTCCACTACCAGGTCCATTGCAAATGAATGGTTTGCAGAACACGGAAGACCTATTGGCATGCGAAGTGTTTACCGACGAATGAGAAGTTTTGGCTTGTTTTCATACCGGCCACACTGGGTCCTCCCTTTAACTCGAGAACACCGACGTAATCGCCTTGAGTGGTGCAGACAACGGTCACTCTTGGATCAGGAATGGAACAGTATTGTCTTTAGTGACGAGTCTCGATTTTGTTTAGGCATGCACGATGGTCGTGCCAGGGTTAGAAGGCGACGTGGTGAAAGGAGGAATACACAGTTTTTTGTTAAAAGACATGTTCATCACACTGTTGGAGTTATGGTTTGGGGTGCTATAGCTTATGGTTCCAGGTCACCTTTAATCTTCATGAGAGGTAACATGAACGCGCAGCGTTATATCCACGAAGTTCTAGAACCCCATCTTTTACCCTATCTTGACACCCTGGCAGATCGAACTTTCCAACAAGATAATGCCCGACCACATGTTGCAAGAGTCACAATAGACTTCTTTCAACATAATGATGTCACATTGTTACCATGGCCACCAAGATCTCCCGACTTATCCCCAATTGAGCACGTGTGGGATATGATGGGTAGAAGATTGCTCAATTTGCAACGTCCTCCTCAGACTCTAGAAGCACTTCGAGAGGAGTTGGTGGTTGCCTGGAATGAGATACCCACAGGAGGACACTGACCACCTGATCAGAAGCATGCCTAGGCGCGTTGGAGAATGCGTAGCACATCATGGTGCATCCACACATTATTAAAGGTCAAAGGGCTTTAAAGCAGTGCAATCATTTTGAAATTTTTATCATTTACTTATTATGCTTCATTAAGTACTTATACAAAATTTTATTTAAATAAAACCATTTAAACTGGGTGTTCGGATTTATATGTCACTTAGTATATTTGCACCGTTTGGCCTCAATGGTAATTGGTTGGATAGCTGCTAAATTGGTGGTAACTCAAAGATCAAATAAACTGATAGTAGCTGCTGCATCTCTATCTAATTTGTGCCTAGGCTTTTGCTTTTTTTAATTCTTCAAGATACCACTAACTAGTGGTAGTAACATCAACTGATGTGTCAGTTACTATTTTAATATGTGAATTGTTTTCACATAATGAACACTTCCTCTGTGTTCTTTGATAGGCGTACTTAATAAATTTTTTATACCTGTATATTTCCAATCTTTGAGACTGCAGGTATGACCCATAGCCTCCACCAATAGATGGTCCCTCATCTATCTCTATTCCAGCCCAATGTAAATCTTTCAATATCTGATCAGTAGCACCTTGTACCAGCCTGGTTTGGTCGGTGTCTTCAATACGTAATATCAACTTCCCGTTGTATTTTTTTGCAAAAAGGAAGTTGTAAAGGGCTGTACGAAGTCCCCCAAGATGTAAATAGCCTACAAATAAACAATATAAGTTGGAATAATTTTTCTTACATTATGACTTCACCAATCTAAAAATGTTTATGCGCTGTAATTTTCTGTGCAAGTTGTGAGGAAATAAATATGGGTTTGGTTGCCTCAGATGTTCAGCACTACATTTGAGTGTTACCCAAAGAAGGCCGAAAACTGAAATGTTGAAACCAGAAATTTTACTTTTGATCAGAAAGTTCAAATATCAGTTTATAGTTCACCCTTAGAGAAATATAAATGTATCATAGCTTCTGCAAAATTGTGAAGGAAGAAAGAGATCAAAATATTCGTCTGTCTGGGGTACCTCGACATCCAGTCCTTGATACGGCCCTGCCCACTGTTGAAAATTAGTAATAATTTGTGTTTATTACCTGTAGGGCTAGGAGCGAATCGTACCCTAACCGAATCACTTTTATATCTACAAAATGTGATGTTACTGCAAATATTCCTAGATACTAAAATGATTTTCTTCATAATGAACTTTTTAGGTTATAAACTACAACAAGCGAATTGTTTTTTCTTGGACGTACAACAGTTTCCTGCTTGTAATACAAATCACTTTCACTGTTTAAAATGACAACAATTAATTTTGAATTTGTAATGATTTTTGTTAGAGGAATCACCACTTTCACTTTATCATTATTTAGCATGTGAAAATTCGCACTTTTGCTGCGTGTGGCAGCCTTGTTTATGCAGACTTTTGAGGTTATTTTTCGTAAATCTACAAAAATAAAAGTTACCGTTCTCAAATGGTTTGTTTTTGTTAACAAATTCATAGTGGATCATCTGCTTCTTACGATGGTACGTAGAATTAAGTGAAATCCTCCGCAGAAAACGGGTAAACGAAAAATATATCGTAACCCGGAGCTGTCAAAGTGACATTCATTTATTTGTGCAACAAAACGTAACCTATCTTTTAACGAAATTTCAGGATTATTTCCTTATTTCCAGCATAAACTCAAATCCTCGCAGAAGGAGAAAGTTAAGAAGTTCATATCTTTCACACAAACGGGCGAAAATACAGCCATTTATTGCCTTACCCAGAATGATTGGAAATTGGACCTAGCCAGTGACAACTACTTCCAGAATCCAGATGCATACTACAAAGAGCCCCGAAGCGTGGACAAAAAGAAGCTCGAAGCCCTGTACAACAAGTACAAAGACCCCAATGAACCAGACAAGATCACCGTCGATGGAATCATGAAATTCCTGGATGACCTGAATCTAACTCCAGAGTCAAAGCTGGTGCTGATCATAGCTTGGAAGTTCAAAGCCGCCACCCAGTGCGAGTTCACCAGAGACGAGTTTGTGAATGGCATGACGGAGTTGGGTTGTGATAGCATCGAAAAGTTAAAGGCACGGTTGCCTACGTTAGAAAATGAACTTAAAGACAACTTCAAATTCAAAGACTTTTATCAATTTACGTTTAATTACGCGAAAAATCCAGGCCAGAAAGGACTTGATTTGGATATGGCTATTGCGTATTGGAATATTGTCCTGAAAGGAAAGTTCAAGTTTTTAGACCTGTGGTGCCAATTTTTACAGGTAATTACATGTTTCTAACAAATGTAGCTAGAATGGTATGTTTCTTTACAAATATATGGATCGGTGCACACTGTTATATTATTATTGGTACGTTCTAACAATGAATTTCTGATGGGACGGTCATTTACAGCAGACGAAATCAATTCACTACATGGCGCATATCATTGTGAGCATTGAGAAAATTATACTAATAGCAGTAGCCATGGAATAGCTTTGACATTAATCAACATAACATCTGACAGTCAAGTGAAAGCTGTTGTCAAAGTTATTCCATGGCCACTGCTACTTAGCGTAATAGTGCTAAACCACTAAGCTTGTTTGATGGATGTATCTAGCAGTCCCTGATAGTTGGAAATAACTGAATGTGGCTAATAAAAGCTGCAATTTGTTTTTGCAAAATCTACAAGGATGAATAATGCAAATCTTAGAGAATGTATGTTTTGTAGCGAAATTAATGAGTTTAGTAAGTCAATTTCCTTAAAAAATTAATTGTTATAAGCGTACACAAGTGTTATGATTGCATCAAATATTAATTTTATTGAAATTGGTGATAATTCTGTTAGAAGTCATTGTGCCATTGGGAACGCTTCATCTTTGTCGTCTTGCTTCACAAGACATGACCAAAAATGAAACATCATACTGTATGTCATATAAGAAATAAAGATGACTTCCATCTAATTTCTAAAAAGCATAATATACAGTAATGGACAAAAGTATATAGACAGATTAATATTGTGCTGTATTTCTTTTTTAAGTTCATCGAATTATAGAAAACCAACCATGTTTGTGTGAATATTTTTAGGCATAACCATTATTATCAATCACCGCCTGGCATCGTGTCGGCATAGATTGTAGAAGTTTCTTGATATAAGATTCATCAATCTGTCTCCACTTTTGCTCTAAAGCGGCAAAAAGTTCATCCTTGTTTGCATCATTTTTATCTCATATTTGCTTATCTAAGGCCCGTATCGTCTGTCGTCCCTACAATTGTAGGGCGCCTTTATGGCCCTCCTTGATTGTCATACACTTCTCCATGTCAGCGCTCAATTTTGAGGTTATGTCACAAACATCTATTTGCATCAAATTGTGCTTGCTTTTGAGTTATATCATGTTTTATCAGCCTGAAATTTCCTACAATTTAAAAAGAAAACATATCTTCACAATAGGAGAGCGATGACGCTCACACGGGACAAGTGTAATCTAGAAATTTTTGAAGGAGAGAAAGCAGTATGACAATCAAGGAGGCCATAAACGCGCACTACAATTGTAGGGACGACTGACGATACGGGCCTAAGTATAAGATTTTCAATGGGGCTTATACCGGGAGACTGTGAAGACCATTTGAGAACTGGGATTCTTTCATCCAGAAAGAATTTCTTTGCGAGATTTGAAGTGTGCTTCGGGTCATTATCTTGCTAGAAGATTGATCATAAGGGCATATTGTCTTCCATGACATGCTTCACTATGTCTGAAAACAAACTTATCCATAATGCCATCTATTCTATGTAAAGGTCCCATCCCAAACCCTGAAAAGCACCCTCAAACTGTAACAGTCCCGCCTCCATGCTTGACAGTGGGCAAAGTGTACTTGGAGTTCAATTTTGTCCACTAGGACGTCTAACGGAATGAACACCATCTGATCCAAACATATTGAACTTGGATTCGTCACTGAAACATACCCTTTTAAAGTCTCAGATGCTCCAATCAAGATGCAATCGTGCAAATTGTAATATTACGGTTTTTCCTCGAGATTAGCGGCTTCGTACTTGGGCGACGTGCAAATAACTTCAAATCATTTAATCTTCTACTTATAGTTTTCGTAGAAACACTGACAATTCCTTTTGTCTCGATTTCGGCTTTTATTTGTCTTTGGGTTTTAAACGGATGTTTGGACGAAATTACTTTTATTAATCTAACTGATCTAGCATTTAGTTTTCTAGGCCGACCAGTTCTCTTAGAGACTTCCAAGACACCATTTTGTTTATATTTGTTCAATATTGCCCAAACTGCTTTACGCTTCAGCTTCAAACTTTTGGCAATGTCGACGATGACCATCTTTGTATAACTCAATGATCTTAGTTTTAGTTTTAAAATCACTCAACTTATTCCACAATACTTGATGAACACAAACTAATCCTCTTCTGACACGAAACTGTACTAAAGTAATGTTGAAAAGAATTTGTACTTGTTTTTGTCCCTCATAAAAAAGTGCTTATATTCAGACTTGCATTGTGTTCATTGCAGATAATGTAAAAACAAGGAATTTAGTTTTTGTACTAATAACGCATTTGTTTATGGAGCAATGAAGTATGAATTCGTTTTCTAAAGGTATTTAGGTAAATATTCATATTTGTCTATATACTTTTGTCCATTTCTGCATGCTATAATTAATCACAAAGATTAAAGGCCAGAATAATTTGGATAATTATTTAATTTATGTAGTCTAACATGCTAAATAAATATTTCTGCTACTATTACTACACAATGATTTTTCAAAATTATCTTGTCTTTTTGTTCAATTTTTGTGTCTATGAAGAATTTCCTGGGTCGTCTAACGTTGTTACAAGCCAAGGAAATTCAGTAAATAATAAAGTAATACTTTGTCATAGAAACATTAAAATGTAACTCTTGCAAATAGTCGGAGAGATTCTGAAAATATCGATAAAATCCATCTTATAAAATGCTATATTTTAGTATATTTATGGTGAAAGTACTAGACTACCGTGGGCCCGCCTGGGGATCCTTTTTTACCTTAGAATTTACATATTTAGCATGATTTTGTGAACAATTTGAAGGATTTGTCCTACCACCCCCTAAGCCTAGGCAAATTTTACTACCCGCCGCTCTTCAAAAAGTTTTAGGGGCGAGTTGACTTTCACATGTTCGGCCACCCTAAAACAGTTCCTACGGGCTGCCATTATTTAGTCGCAAGCCCTTGCTAGGAACGCCACATATGGAGTAATGGCACTACAACTTATAGTATAGGATTTAGAAGTTATGAGTTAGTGCTATCTCTGCAGTAGATATTACATCACATAGCTCAAGTAACTTTACGCTTAGGCAGTACACACAGCTAAATATGAAGTCAGTGATAGCTGGTGGCTGAGGTAATTTAGGATTCAGATTTTGAATACGACCATCAAAAAAAAGGCTAAAGCATCGCAGTCATATTTGGGGTAGAGAAATGTGAAACTAGCACGTAATAAACGGTCATGTACAGGCCGACCCAGAAGTCGACGTTAAGCTGGAAACTGGGATACGTCGTATAGTTATAAAAATATAAACAAATCGTCTACTTTTCAAATTATATGCTATTTCACGAGTATACCCTATTTCACAAGTAGTGTTTTTGTTTTTTGTATGAACTTTTCTAAATAAAAGATCTGTTAGCAAGTACAAACTGAACATCTGTAGCGTACAGAAAAACAAAAGACGCCTCTGTCTACCTGGCGTTGACGGATGCGTCAGAATTATGTGTCCTGTGCCGATATGGGGAATTCTAAAATATTACGAGATAACCAGCTGCCATTCTTCCGTGATGGATACTGAAGTGAACAGCTGATCAGCAAGTGTGTTAGTCTGCAACGTTGGCAATAATGGATCGGGTATAAATCTAGTAAAGCTTATTTGTGACGTTTTGTTTTTTTTGTATACAAATGAATTTTTCTGAATAAAAGATCTGTTAGCAAGAACAAAATGAATATCTGTAGCGTACAAAAAAAAATACGGCTCTGTCTACCTGGCGTTGACGGATCCGTCAGAATAATGCGTCCTGTGCCGATATGGGGAATTACTCGTGAAATAGGGTATACGTCAGTCCCTCTAAGGGTGTACATTTTTCCGATTTTTTCAAGTCACGACTTTTATATTTCTTTCCGACTTGATGTCGACTCCTTGTAGAATCTAAGCGTTTCGCATGCTCTTTTCCAGGAGAATCACAAACGATCCATCCCGAAAGACACGTGGAACCTCCTACTGGACTTCGCGCAGCAGATCGCGGACGACATGAGCAACTACGACGAGGAGGGCGCTTGGCCTGTCTTGATCGACGATTTCGTCGAATGGGCGACAGCGAAAGCGAAAGAAAGTCAGCAACCACACAGCACCAGCACCCATCTCGACTAGCACACTGTCGCCGTTGTTCTCCTACAGCTCGTTGATTTTTATAAAATCCAATGGCAGTAAACCATGCGTTACTTTACAAATCTGTCTGATGATCGGGAATAAGCTGGGGCGTTTGTTTCGTTCTTTTTTACAAGGGAGAACCGGGGAGGGTGTTAAAAATTAAAGGCCTGTAAATTAAGTAATGAGACTGTTTGAGACCAACGTGCTTTTTTACGGAATACGCTTCATTGAACGTAGATGCGTATTCTGGGTATACACCTCGTAAGTCACGACATTCCTCCAGGTCAAATGATTCTACGCAATACACGTACAGTGCAAAAACAACGTAAGGCGAATCACATGCTCTCCTGTCACCCGTCCAAACCCGGCGCGTCCAGTGTTGCCAGATCCAGCGCTACGTTGCCAGTCTCATTACTCAATTTACAGACCTCGTACGTCTAGCGCCGAGAGATGGCAGCGGACATTATCGAAGCATAACTCTTGCAGCTTATCACAGAATCTATTCGCCAAGAGCGAAGTGCATAGTGAGGAGAACTAAATCGATCGCAGTATATAAAAAGGGAACATTGTCGCCTGGATGTGGAAACATTGCAGAAGTGATCTATATGGCGCGATCTGTTTCATGTGGGGCAACTGAGGTCTTGAAATAGTGCAAATATTTAACTATCGTTATCTGTCAGATCTAAAGCGAGTTGTCAGTTTAAAATTTATATTATTCCTAACCTCCTGGCGCGGCACCCAACGCGCGGACAGCTTTCTGATGCATAAATGTTGGTGTAATGTGTGACAAACACGTTCTTTTGACATCTTCATAACCTCTGCTATATCTCATACTTTAATTCGGCGGTCGTCTGCAGTTTTTGGACGTCCCGAACGTTCAATGTCTCCCAAGCTCTTACGGCCACGTTTAAATTCAGTTGCCTGAGGCAAATGATGGTGCATACAAAGAATCCAACTCATCTTTGATTTGCGACAGATATTTAATGACAGCTCGATACTCAAACGACTGTTACATAACAACTTCTGGCTAAAACTTTGGTGAGTAACTGACAACAGACTAATAACGAAATTGACTAGCTTTTATTTACGAGTGCTGCCATCTCCACGTTGAGGCCGGAAACTATTCGGATCACCCTCGTAAAAAATTAAGGTATGCTCATTTGACCAATGAGCGTCGCTTGTATCCTTCAGCCTCCTCTTAATAACACAAATGGCATATCATAGTCACCTTCATGCAGACTGTACTGTAAAGTAACGAAAAATGGAAGCTCGAAGAGTTTCTGTTTCCGGAAGACGCCTCTAGTGGAAAGTACTTTATTTTGGAGATTGTGCCGGGGATAATCTTTTCAGTTTTGTTCGGTTTTTTGTTGCGTACTTTATTTCGTAACTGTATATAAATACTAGATTCTCCTTTCCACGTAGCGTGGAGTAAAATAAATATATTGTAAATTTTCTGGCAAAGAGAAATTGTTCGATGTAAGCTACGTTTATTAAGAAAATTAGGAAAAACGAAACTGTGTTTTAGTAGTCCCGAATCCCAGAAAGAAAAAGACGCGTCAAGTAGGTTGATTTCATAAATATATCCTCACGCCTTCAGTAATTTTGAAATTTCAAAAAAGGAGTGAATCAAGTCTATTCAGAAGATTTAGATAGAATCGAAACGTGATTGAGTATATTCACTTAACAAGTAAATCTCTACATCTCAGACTACAATATCAACCCAATATTAACTATGAAATACATGCGAAATCGTTGACTTGATTTTTTAATTCACTAACGCTCTAAAATGAATATTTCAGCCGCAGTAAAGAATCAACGTTGGCGAATTTTGGCTCTTGACATCCTTACGATCGGTTACGATGCCTAGAGTACGGAGACCTGTACGATTTCGTCAACTTAGTGAGTTTGGTAGGGACCGTATAGTGGGACTTCGGGACGCTGGACTTTTTTTCGGGCAATTGAGGTTAGAGTGCAAAGAAGTGTAGACACTGTGGTTAGGTGTTGTCAGGCATGGCTTCGAGAAGGCCGCACGCAAAGAGCAAGGGGCACTGGACGCCGCCGTAGAACAACAGACCGTGAAGATCGCCGCCTAAGATTATTGGCCTTAAGGGACCGTTTCTCTCACTACTACCAGGTCCATTGCAAATGAATGGTTTGCAGAACACGGAAGACCTATTGGCATTCGAAGTGTTTACCGACGAATGAGAAGTTTTGGCTTGTTTTCATACCGGCCACACTGGGCCCTCCCTTTAACTCGAGAACACAGACGTAATCGCCTTGAGTGGTGCAGACAACGGTCACTCTGGGATCAGGAATGGAACAGTATTGTATTTAGTGACGAGTCTCGATTTTGTTTAGGCATGCACGATGGTCGTGCCAGGGTTAGAAGGCGACGTGGTGAAAGGAGGAATCCACGTTTTTTGTTGAAAGACATGTTCATCACACTGTTGGAGTTATGGTTTGGGGTGCTATAGCTTATGGTCCAGGTCACCTTTAATCTTCATCAGATGGTAACATGAACGCGCAGCCGTTATATCCACGAAGTTCTAGAAACCCATCTTTTACCCTATCTTGACACCCTGGCAGATCCAACTTTCCATCAAACATGATGTCACATTGTACCATGGCCACCAAGATCATCCCGACTTATCCCCAATTGAAGCACGTGTGGGGATATGATTGGGTAGGAGATTGCTCAATTTTGCAACCGCACTCCTCAGACTCTAGAAGCACTTCGTCGAGAGGAGTTGGTGGTTGCTTATGATTATATATACAGTAGCGGACAAAAGTTTTGAAACAAATATTAACATTATTATGAACTATTCCATATACCTAAATTAAAATTGTAAAGGAACAGATAACATAAATATTTGGTTCCCATACTAATACAGGGTTTTCTTATCAATATTCAAGTTCTCTGAAAATAAAAACACGCGTTTTTTAAATACCACAGTTTTTGTAATGACAAAAGTATGGAAAGATTTCAGTTTGATACTCTGATATTTCGTGTGGAGACAACAGACGTCGATAATTTAAATTTATTTTTGAAATCGAGATCTTGGTTAATATTATAAAACTTCTCAATGCTTGGACTATCGCATCCAGCGCCTGACGCCGCAAATTTCTGTTTTTGTAATTGGGTGACTTCACCTTGTACAGGTTTGGCCATTTTTGGTACTCCTCCAACAACATTGTAAATTCTTCCCGATTCCACGACATTATGAATAAACAATAACAATAAACGCTCCTTCGTACGACTCGAACAGGACCACTCCCACAAATGTTAAGTGAGGTTATGTTGTTGTTGTTGTCGTTGACATTTGACATTGACATGCACGGAAATAACCCTCTGCGCCGATTCTCGCGCATATAATATAGAACGGGTTTATATTTTTACCATGAAAATTTTCACAAGAATTCTTTTACGTGTAATACGACAGCAAAAATGTTCGGTATAATTATGACCATAATTTTCGGAGTAATTCTCTTGTGTGTAAAACGGCTCGTAAATATTAACATCAGTGAGAATGGCAAAAGTGAAAGAATTTTAAAAAGATTTAAGAGACAAAGTAATTGACATATTTAAAGTGGTGTCAGAAATGTTGACATTTCTAAGATTAAAAATGGACAAAGGGACGATTTCGAAAATTATTAGTAAATATCAAGAATACGGATCCACAGCAACGCGGCCCAGGTGCGGAAGACAGAAAAAAACCGATTATGTTTTGGATTTTCAAAGGGATCGTAGAAAAGGGTGCCGAGAATCTTTCTGTCAGAACAGTGCAAAGACGCTTGGTGGATTTTAGGCTTTCTGGTACGCGTCCAGTGCAAAAGCTTTTCATTTCAAAAATGGCGTGGCAACATCATCGTTTTGGGCTGTTTTTCTAGCTCTGGAACGGGTCCAATTGTTAGAATTGTTGGGAAAATGGATCAAAAACCTTACAAAGATATTCTTAGTGAACACATGCTCCCTTTTGCTGAAGAAGAAATGTATTTCAGCAAGAGACTGGCCCCAAGCATACCTCAAAATTCGTAAAGGACTGGTTAAGACTAAAAAATGTTAATGTTTCTACATGGCCTTCGCAATCCCCGGACCTACACTCTATAGAACATCTCTGGGAGCATATTAAAAGACAACTGTCAAGAAAAACTTTTAAAAATAGGAACGATTTATTTGATTATGCAAAAAATATTTTGCAAAAATCCCAACAGACGTCCGTAAGAAATTGGTGTCTTTTTTGATCAGCAAATGTCAGACAGTGTTGAATGCTAAAGGCTACGCTACCAAATATTAGCTAGACAGTATTTTTTAAATCTTTATTGTATTTAATTTTGTAATAAAATATATGTTTCCATTCTTTTGTCGTCTCATTTTTGGTCATAAAATAATATGAAGGTATTCTGATGCTAGTCTGCAGTACCACAACAAAGACAAGGAAGAATGAAAAATTAGCGCACGTCTTAAAAATTACTAAGAATGTTTCCAAACTTTTGTCCGCTACTGTACTTCGAAAATTCGTACACAGTATTTATCATTGATTTTTATTATTCACTGTAACTGTGATAAGCTTATTTGTTGTTATGGTTCATGTTCTATTTATCGAGCATTCTTAGAAAATTGAACAGTAAGCATTTTAAATAAACTAGGTGTTAAAAAGTCGAATAACACCGGGTCATATTAACTACGATGCGAAATAGCTAAAATGGCATACGACCAGTTAGAGTTAAGTAAGGACAAAATTAGTGAAAGCTGAGTCGTATTTATAGCTTTATTATACACACATAAACAGTCAAAAATATAGCTTATCCATGAACAACGTAATACCAATGCAAGAGTGTTGTTAGGGCTATGATGAATAATGATCAAGCGTTTTGAAAGGCTCAAGTTTTTAAGCCTGTCTTTGCTGTTTGATTTCCAAATGTCTGCATCCAGCCGTCTGTCTACTATTCCTATTCGAACCCCAAAAAACTTCCAATCCGAAAACTCCAATAGCCAGCACGTTGCCAACAACTAACATGAGGAGTACTGACATCAGATGTTCAAACCGTATTTTGACATTGCTCAATGCTTGGTCAATATCCACTATTTTGCTACTGTAATCATTCATATAACTTTCTATCCAGCTTAAGGTGAATCCATTCTCGACAAGTCTTTGTAAATGAAAATCAAAATCACCTAGCAACAATCTGTCCCTAAAGAGCATGTTTATGTTGAAATCTGTAAGACCATTTTTTAGACACGTTATCTTTCCTTTGATTTCCCTCAACTCTGGGAGACTTTTCGTAAAATAATCCTTCTGAAATTCTGGCACACAGAACGCTACATGATGATCGACGACTTTCAGTAACCCTTCTGTAAGGTTTTTCAATACGTTCCATTTTGCTATGATTAACTCAGTGGGGACGTTGAGAACGTTACCTTTGTCTTGTATTACCAACCATTGTGTTACACTATAATATGTGTCCAAATCATATTTGAATATATCTTCCAACCGACTATATTTCTCACGATTATAGGAATTAGTGAAAATGCTAGTGATATTGCTGTTAAAAACATTACTCATGTACAGCCCAAGACTCAACAATAGCCCAAAGAAGTATTTACCGTACGATGTCTTCGGCGATCTGGCAGTAACTTACTTCTAGTATAATGCCAAAACTCCAAAAAAATGTAGCTAGTAAATTTTTGAAATATCTGTTTTCTCTATGTTTCAAACAGCTGACGAGCCATATGCATAAGTTTAACAAGACATATAATAACAAAGATGAAATCCAAACATCTAGCCTGATATAGAGGATCATAGCACTCATGCCTATTCTTTCAGGCGTTTTGGGCACACACCATACTATATCCCATGGAACGTTATATGTATTACTACACTGAAGATGCGTACATCGATCTTCAGTTTTAATAAATGATCCTATGAGCGCATCAACTTCGTTGTCTATCAGATGTTTAAGTGTTCCATTTACCCCGCTTTTTGTTATAACGCCATGAGGCTCTTCGTAGTGATGAAATTCTAATTCAAAATCCATCTTCAATGCGATTAATTTGATCAGTTCAGTTTCTATCCCTTCTGGTCCTTCTTCTTTGTGTATTGTAAGCGGTGGAAGACTAACATAGCCTACTTTGAGTTTGCAATTGTTGAGGTGACCTCTCTTCCTTCCAACCAATTTCCGTTCGAGGCGACCGAAACTGCAGCTGTTGATTTTTGAAATTTTTACCGAGCTGATGTTGCAATAGTGATTTTTCTTGAATTTCCAAGAGAAAGTATTGAAGTTTGAATGATTTTTCGGATCAGCCGTCAGTACCAACGTATGCATCAGACTATTTTTCAGCATAGTTTCGAAAATTTCTTTTACTGCCTTGCGGATATTAGGAACATTTCTGGTGTATACAACGACGAAGTTCGAAGATCTAAATTGAGATAAAAAGCTAGCAATTTCTTCTAGATCCCGTGTCTCTTCAATATACAAGATAGAGCTTTTGAAGAATGTGCCTTCGTGCTTTGATAGTGAATCTGAAAACAATACAAAGTCGATGAAAACCAAATATTTTACAAGAAAATTCAACACCAGTCTACACACTATTAGCACTACTACCATAAAGAGTTTCCCAATAGATACTGTATTAAATTTAGTTATCAGAATTGCGCAAGAAAAAATTCACTTTCATTTTTTCATGAAAATGCGGTCACACCGAAACAGCCGCGCAGGTAGAAGCCTAAATTCCACTGCTTAAGGCCGCTAGAACTGTGAGAAGCCTCCTCATGTAGATTGTATCACAATATCGACAGCTTAGAGACAAAGGAGCGGTCGTATCGGCCGGTTCTGGATGTACTAAGTTCGACACAGAATTAGAGACTGAAATCTGGGATGAAGTTTGCATAGAGCTTGCCACAGCTGATCGAACGCTTTCGGGATATCAAGAGCAACAACTTGAGCATCACCATAAGACAAGATCAGCTTACTCCACCGTTGCATGACGTACGCTAAGATGTCACCCGTGGATCGCTGGTGCCGAAAACTACGTATATACTGCCTGTGTGATCAATGATTTAAAACTAAAATCCGACAACTTGACAAACTGCGTCATATCTCAGTTCAGGCTCATTTTTTTTCTGCTGAGTACCTTAGAGGCAAGAAGCCACTTATACTAAGTGACATATAAATCCGAACACCCAGTTTAAATGGTTTTATTTTAATAAAAGTTGGTGAATGTATTTATCTTACTGTAAATACCAAGTGAAAAAATTTTCAGCCTTATCAGTTGGACATTCCGGTTTTTATACTGCTTTTTTTAATTCACTAACGCTCTAAAAATGAATATTTCAGCCGCAGTAAAGAATCAACGTTGGCGGATTATGATTCTTGACATCCTTTACGATCGGTTACGATGCCTAGAGTACGGAGACCTGTACGATTTCGTCAACTTAGTGAGTTTGATAGGGGCCGTATAGTGGGACTTCGGTAAGCTGGACTTTCTTTTCGGGCAATTGCAGTTAGAGTGCAAAGAAGTGTAGGCACTGGTTAGGTGTTGTCAGGCATGGCTTCGAGAAGGCCGTACGCAAAGAGCAAGGTGCACTGGACGCCGCCGTAGAACAACAGATCGTGAAGATCGCCGCCTAAGATTATTGGCCTTAAGGGACCGTTTCTCCACTACCAGGTCCATTGCAAATGAATGGTTTGCAGAACACGGAAGACCTATTGGCATGCGAAGTGTTTACCGACGAATGAGAAGTTTTGGCTTGTTTTCATACCGGCCACATTGGGTCCTCCCTTTAACTCGAGAACACCGACGTAATCGCCTTGAGTGGTGCAGACAACGGTCACTCTGGGATCAGGAATGGAACAGTATTGTCTTTAGTGACGAGTCTCGATTTTGTTTAGGCATGCACGATGGTCGTGCCAGGGTTAGAAGGCGACGTGGTGAAAGGAGTGTAACGGTTTCACCGTCCGATCCTATTTATTAAATCACTTCTCGATTATCATTTCATTAATCCCATCTCTAGTTTTTTTGCTTGGAAAATTTTCCGCTTGGAGCGCTTGATGCGGAGTTCCTGATCTGCGATCTTCCTCGCGCTTCCTTTTCACTTGAGCCGCCGATCGAACAACGGCTAGAAATTTCTTCTCAGTAGCACCAGGTTATATAGCACCATGTGCTAGATTTCTAGAATGTGTGTCCGTATAGGACAAAAATGGTGAGTTTTATAATACTATACAGTTTTATTGCTGGATCTGCCTGTAGTTTATAGATAATCGATATGTAAGTGATTTATTTCTTGTACGATTTTAAAATATCCATCGAACATCATTTTCGACTACTTCGATCATTCGCCATAACTTTAATCAAATCGAGGTGGAAATCGATCCACATCGATTTTACCTCTGTGCGCGTATATTCATAGTTCAGTGAAATTATAAGTACGTTGATTATGAATATTCGATGATTATGTTTTTATATCAGAAGCATGTGGAGAAATTTTTGATGACCACCATCTTGTTCTACGCTTTTTTTTGCTATTTCATGATTTTATTTTATGAAAGGCATTTCCAATTTTCGGTTTGATTTTATCAAACTATATAATGTAATTCTAACCTAGAAAATCGTTGGTTCTCTTTTGAGGCAGACTGAGATTGGAAATGCCTTGGCCATTAGGGCACGTTGCTAATGCACACGGTTCTTTTTCAGATTGGGGCCACCCCCTTTCTCTTTCCCTTTCACTTTGCCTAGCCTTGGCCAATATTTTCACCCATGCATGTGCCTTGGCAGCGCCATCGCCTTTAACTTCGCCTACAACTGGTTGTGAAGCCACTATATGGAGGTCACCCCTCATAACTGGGACCTCCCCTTCAAGCCCCTGGCCATCCTGGCTTCAGTCGAGTAAAAATGGACCAGCGAAAGATAAGTCGATAGCGTTATAGCAGCGCCAAAGATGTAAAACTTATTTTGTTATTTTTGTAAAATTGTAATGAAAATGCCTTTTTTTTGTTAAATAAAATCTGTTAAATTTTTGTGTTCTGTTTGTTCTTCTATCCTCTAGCCAAGCCATGGTCGACACACAGCTACACGCCTGTAGATGTCTTCATGCCACCGACTGAGCTACCGGAAGCTAATGGTAACCCCCTTTCTGTGATTGTGCAGAAAAGTTGGAATCTTCATTGCATTCCATCTTTTCTGGACTTTTTTGCGGAAAGGAAGTGTCACATAAATTGGCGCCCAACGTGGGGCTTCGATAGGTGTTTGGCTTTGTCGACAAGTGGTTTGCTAGTGGAAGATTGGCAGACAGAACATAGTTTTCAAAATTCTTTACAATCTTTGGCAGCATTTCTATTTTTAATTGCTTTTGGTACTCAAATTTCTAATTCCTTAATCATCCTTACTTTTTGCTTAATGTTTAAAATTTTTATCAAAAGATTAAAATTTTTCCACCTGTTTATTTCATAGGCATATACTATTAACTTTTAAATTGTCTTGTTTAGTAGTCAGCGAGATCATTGCCAGAATTTTTTTTTCTCACATACTACTACAGTTTTTATTTACTGCTGGGGACAGTTATAACTTTTTTTTCATTGTACTTTTGAGATTGATGATATTTTGATATTTTTTTGTTGTTGAATATTGATAGTCTGGGGACTTTAGGTTTCCCAGCATTTTTGTCGAATATCATCAAACTTTTGATTGAGGTTGTGACTATTGTTGTTGATAGTTTACATATTCTTATATGCTTTTCAGTTTTGATCACTAACCTCTTAGTTTTTGAAAGTATTTCTTCATGTGCAGTTTTTTGATTTCTTGAGACTTTTCATGTATGCATATATAGCCTAATTGAAGGATCTCTGGTGTACTGATATAGCTCTCATGATGTTTGGTACGTAGGAAATTTACTTTCAAAATTATTTTTGCCTTCCCCAAATGTATTTACTTTTTGAATTTTTGACTGTACTTGAACTTTTGATCATTTGTTTTCATTCTGATGGCAATAATCTACTGACTAGAGTTATCTGGAGTAAATCATTTTGCGATTTATCCGTTTTTCTGAATTATATGAAATTGATATTCATAATTTTTCGTATATTTTGGCGGTTTACTTTTTTTCAAGTATTGACACTTGGACATAGTACTTTGATACTTACCTTTCTTTTTTTTCAAGAAACAAATGATGTTTTTCTTGACTATATTTTTGCTACTTTTCAATGAGGGGGTGACTCCTAAATCATTTTTACCTATACAAAGACACACATACTCATTTATGGTAATTCAATGTCAACTTGTTGTTGAAATATAGTATACGTTCCTCAGTAACTATTGTAGTAATTTTGTCTCTTGTTTGGAGCATAAGTTTTCATAATTTTAATGTTTTATAGTTTTATCTGGCATATTCTTTGAGGGAAATTAGAACATTAGTGTCTGATTTTCCATTGGATGAACAGGACTTGAACGTCTCTGTACTTTTTTAATGTATGTCCGATATAAAATATTTTTTTAAGATTTGGCTGCTCTTGTTTTTGTATTGAAACTTTTGGTTTGTATTGTTAGTTTTTTATAGTGTTTTGGATCCTTGTTATTTCCGCTCAATCGAAGGGGGCGAGTTTTTCGATCTGTACATTGGAGCGAGTAGGTTTTCCTATGTTTATTTCCTAGTACAGATGCGAACGGAGAAGAATTTCTTTTGATAATGAATAAACTTATTTGCTGTAAGAGGCAGCTGATTGTTTACTTTGGACATTTAACATCGTTGATCCTTCAACCTTTTGAAATATTACAATCAGTCCAATACATATTTCCGCTCAATCGAAGGGGGCGAGTTTTTCGATCTGTACATTGGAGCGAGTAGGTTTTCCTATATTTATTTCCTAGTACAGATGCGAACGGAGAAGAATTTCCTTTGATAATGATTAAACTTATTTGCTGTAAGAGGCAGCTGAATGTTTACTTTGGACATTTAACATCGTTGATCCTTCAACCTTTTGAAATATTACAATTTGTCCAATACTCATATTTCCGCTCAATCGAAGGGGGCGAGTTTTTCGATCTGTACATTGGAGCGAGTAGGTTTTCCTATGTTTATTTCCTAGTACAGATGCGAACGGAGAAGAATTTCCTTTGATAATGAATAAACTTATTTGCTGTAAGAGGCAGCTGAATGTTTACTTTGGACATTTAACATCGTTGTTCTTTCAACCTTCTGAAATATTACAATCAGTCCAATACTAATATTTCCGCTCAATCGAAGGGGGCGAGTTTTTCGATCTGTACATTGGGGCGAGTAGGTTTTCCTATATTTATTTCCTAGTACAGATGCGAACGGATAAGAATTTCCTTTGATAATTGCTAAGCTAATTTACTGTAAAAGGCAGTTGAATGTTTACTTTGGACATTAGTTATCGTTGTTCTTTCAACCTTTTGAACCATTACGTCAGTCCACCATTTACAAAATTTACAAGTCATAATTATTTTTCTGATTCCAATTTAATGTGTATACTTCATCTTTTGAATATTTCATTTTTCTGAGTGTACTCAAAATTTAAATTGCATTCCCGATCTAAATCATGTGACAAATACTGTGTATAATATTTTATAATGTTTTTATGCGTATATTTTCTGAATTTCCTTTACATACTTACGTACTTCTATTTTTGAAGTCTATTACTTTTGAAGTTTTTGATAGTATCCTCTTTTTGAATTCATTATAACTTTCTTCGAGAGCACAGACTTACATTGATTTTTGGTTCAAACTTTTGATGTTTGTTTACATATTTTTGAGTGGTTTTGAACTTTGACAGTATTTTGCAGTCTGGATAGTTACATAGATTCGTTGCGATGTATGCATTTGAGGGTCTTGTACTATCCACAGTTTTCTTTAATTGAAAGTGTTTTCTTCATATGCATTTTATTTTCTTCTTGAGACTTGTCATATATGCTTTCCGCCTAGTTGCAAATCTGTGCGTATTGATAAACTCTTGAAATCTCTGGCGTATAAGTAAAACTCACTTTTGATATAGTTATTTATGTCTCAGTTCAATTCAATCAGTTCAATTTGATTTGAAGTAATTGTCAATTCCTTCTTGAGATTTTTCATATATGCTTTAAGCCTTTGTGCACATTTGTGCGTATTGCTAAGTCTTGAGCTTGGTTGCGACATTGCTTTCATGTTTCGCTATAGATTTTGAAATATCTGGTGATTTTGCTTTTGCATTATTGCATTTGTTTTGATAGTCTGCTCTCATTTTTTTTTCTCGACTTCTTATTTCTTTCAATTTCTGTCTTACTTGAAGTAATCGCCAATTCTTATAGATTCAGTATAGTAATTCTCTTTCCATACTTTACACTGGTAAATTATTATAGTTTTTCTAATTTTGTAATATTTCATATTTGAACTTAACTTTCATTTTACAATGTTATGGTTATTCTCAGTGTAGACTTTGAAGTGCGCTGATGATATCAGTGATTACATGAGAATATTCCATAGACTATAGACATTCTTGTCTAGGGCTTTGGAATGCACCTATGGTGACCCTAGAAAGTTGTCTTTCTCTCATATTTTTGCTTTAAATCAAAATTCGAATTCTTACCTATCATATTTATTTCTATTTCTTGTTCACTAGATTTTTTTTATAACTCCAATTTTGCACCTACATATATCGTAGACTTTTGCATACAATTTTTGCTTGCGGCATTACTCTCATGTATCATGATTTATTAAAATATCTTGTGATTTTCGCTTCGCTATTTTGCTTTTTACATATGCTCACTTCGTTTCTCATTTATTACTCATGAAACTTTTAATATTTTGCTTACTTTTAAATTTTTTTGAGAACCCTTTATAAAATCATGCTCATATAGCTTTAATATTTCCTTTCACTTTATGATTTTAACACTATTAGATTTACAGTTGCACTTGTGTTGCACTTAGTTTTTTTGGAAATTTATTTTGCTCTTTTCTATATTGTACTTCAAATTTTTTTTTGGTCTGGTTCTTATGTTGTCACATGACCCGAAAATTTTGATTGAACTTACTCTTGAATTCTAGTTCATTGATTGAACTTAAGCTATATTTTGACTTTGAAAATCTTACTTCAATATTTCATGAATGTCTCTTATATACTTTAATTCTCTGAAACTATTTTGAATTATTTTGTAGTCTTACAGACTGCTGGCGCCCGACAATTTTTTTGTGGAATCAGAACTGCACTTAGTTAACATCTTTTTTGATTAAATTACCTTCATGATCAAGTTTTCATTGGTTTAGTACTTGTAAATTGTTTTGTTATATGACTTGAATTCCTAATGGAATTTGTTAATTTCTTTTGATTTTCATATTTTGAAAATAGTAATGCACTTTTTTTATATTGGATATTGGTTTAAAATATCACTGTAGATGATATTCTTTTTGGGTTTGGAGTATTGCGAGATGATCTGGCAATTGTTTTGAGCAAGATTATTATTTTTTTAGTACCTCTTATGGTTTAGGTACTTACTTAGTTTTCAAGTTTTTAGTAGTCAGTCGTGCATTTTGGATGCCATTGTGATTCGTGCTTGGACTACTTCTGAAGCTTTTGGTTTATTATTTTTCTCGTCTTAGGTATGACGATGTTTTATGTTTTGGGTTTTTCATCATATGATGATAGTTTTTTTTTAAGTGCAACTTCACTGTACTTTTCAGCGAGTTGGTGCTATAACCATCCCTCTTGTTTGGTAGACTTGAGGCTATCCCTTTTCCTTCCAAATCTCTTCTAACATTTTTGTTTCTACCTTACTTTTACTACTTGTTATCTGGTCGAATGGTTGTACATTTGTCCTTCCGTGATAACTTTCAATTTCCTAGTAAAAAAAAAAAAAAATTCTTAAATGCTTCTTCGATTTTTTTTTTTGGTTAAGTTGGGGCGAGTGTAACGGTTTCACCGTCCGATCCTATTTATTAAATCACTTCTCGATTATCATTTCATCAATCCCATCTCTAGTTTTTTTGCTTGGAAAATTTTCCGCTTGGAGCGCTTGATGCGGAGTTCCTGATCTGCGATCTTCCTCGCGCTTCCTTTTCACTTGAGCCGCCGATCGAACAACGGCTAGAAATTTCTTCTCAGTAGCACCAGGTTATATAGCACCATGTGCTAGATTTCTAGAATGTGTGTCCGTATAGGACAAAAATGGTGAGTTTTATAATACTATACAGTTTTATTGCTGGATCTGCCTGTAGTTTATAGATAATCGATATGTAAGTGATTTATTTCTTGTACGATTTTAAAATATCCATCGAACATCATTTTCGACTACTTCGATCATTCGCCATAACTTTAATCAAATCGAGGTGGAAATCGATCCACATCGATTTTACCTCTGTGCGCGTATATTCATAGTTCAGTGAAATTATAAGTACGTTGATTATGAATATTCGATGATTATGTTTTTATATCAGAAGCATGTGGAGAAATTTTTGATGACCACCATCTTGTTCTACGCTTTTTTTTGCTATTTCATGATTTTATTTTATGAAAGGCATTTCCAATTTTCGGTTTGATTTTATCAAACTATATAATGTAATTCTAACCTAGAAAATCGTTGGTTCTCTTTTGAGGCAGACTGAGATTGGAAATGCCTTGGCCATTAGGGCACGTTGCTAATGCACACGGTTCTTTTTCAGATTGGGGCCACCCCCTTTCTCTTTCCCTTTCACTTTGCCTAGCCTTGGCCAATATTTTCACCCATGCATGTGCCTTGGCAGCGCCATCGCCTTTAACTTCGCCTACAACTGGTTGTGAAGCCACTATATGGAGGTCACCCCTCATAACTGGGACCTCCCCTTCAAGCCCCTGGCCATCCTGGCTTCAGTCGAGTAAAAATGGACCAGCGAAAGATAAGTCGATAGCGTTATAGCAGCGCCAAAGATGTAAAACTTATTTTGTTATTTTTGTAAAATTGTAATGAAAATGCCTTTTTTTTGTTAAATAAAATCTGTTAAATTTTTGTGTTCTGTTTGTTCTTCTATCCTCTAGCCAAGCCATGGTCGACACACAGCTACACGCCTGTAGATGTCTTCATGCCACCGACTGAGCTACCGGAAGCTAATGGTAACCCCCTTTCTGTGATTGTGCAGAAAAGTTGGAATCTTCATTGCATTCCATCTTTTCTGGACTTTTTTGCGGAAAGGAAGTGTCACAGGAGGAATCCACAGTTTTTTGTTGAAAGACATGTTCATCACACTGTTGGAGTTATGGTTTGGGGTGCTATAGCTTATGGTTCCAGGCCACCTTTAATCTTCATCAGAGGTAACATGAACGCGCAGCGTTATATCCACGAAGTTCTAGAACCCCATCTTTTACCCTATCTTGACACCCTGGCAGATCCAACTTTCCAACAAGATAATGCCCGACCACATGTTGCAAGAGTCACAATAGACTTCTTTCAACATAATGATGTCACATTGTTACCATGACCACCAAGATCTCCCGACTTATCCTCAATTGAGCACGTGTGAGATATGATGGGTAGGAGATTGCTCAATTTGCCACGTCCTCCTCAGACTCTAGAAGCACTTCGAGAGGAGTTGGTGGTTGCCTGGAATGAGATACCACAGAAGGACATTGACCACCTGATCAGAAGCATGCCTAGGCGCGTTGGAGAATGCGTAGCACATCAGGGTGCATCCACACATTATTAGAGGTCAAAGGGCTTTAAAGCAGTGCAATCATTTTGAAATTTTTATCATTATTATGCTTCATTAAGTACTTATACAAAATTTTATTAAAATAAAACCATTTAAACTGTGTGTTCGGATTAATATGTCACTTAGAATATTAAGATTTAAAAGTACGAAATTTAGCTTTTTGACAACAATTACATTTTCTTCTTATGTGAGTATTTCGAAGTGAAATTTTTCAAGGAACTCAAAAATGATCTAGAAATGTTGGTCTTTTAATCTGTTACGCAGAGATTTCAGTCAAAATGCTGCATGGGCATTGCTTATGGATCTGGAGGGAACCATGTTGTTGGTCTTGAGAGGAGATAATATAAGACATAACAATTTCGCCTTGAGATGTCGGAATAAAAACATTCGCGCATTTGATACTCAATGACAAAGCATAACCTAGATGCAGGGGCGACTGGCCGTTAAGTTCTGCAAAGCTGCAGAACTGCCAAAACTTTTGTCTTAACAGAAAAAAACAGTAGTAATTTGATCATTATTTATTTTCCATGTATCACACAAATAGAAACAATACCGGCAACGCTGCAAGACACAGCGTCGAGTCTGTTCTGTATTGAGAAAGCCTTATAATCGACCAATTGTGTACTTGTCATTTTCGTCGCGACCGCGGCGTAACATTATTCGTGAGCCACCTGAAAAGGGTCTGTGCACGACTTCCACACAAGCCGCACGCGCTTGGTTTTGTCTCTCTCTACAAAATCAAATGTGCGATTTAAGCATAAGGATGTGCTGCACGTTATGACAGATCTATACATATTTAATGCGAAGTACGATATCTGATTGGTCGGTCGGTGCTGCGGAGTTCAGGTGTTCTTTGGGGATTTGAAAGATATTCCGGGATTTTTTGATAATTCTCCTCAACGCGTAGAGGTACTGAACAGAATTGTGGGTAAAAAAATTCCCCAAGGAGCAACAGCTCGTTGGAATTTTAATATTCGGACAATAAATGTAGTGTTTGAGAACAGAGAATCACTCATGGGATGCATGGAAGAAATAGAAGAAAATTTCACTAATGAAACCGTTTGCAAGGCAGCTTGCGGTATTCGCCGTATGTTAAACGATTCTGTTTTCGTGTTTTGTTTGACATTTTTTCATCTTGTCATGCCTCACGTCGACATCTTGTTCAACCAGTTGCAGAAGAGAAAAACCGAGAAAGCGCAAGTTAAAACGGCTAACGATAATTTTGAAAAATGTATTGTCGATGTGAGAAATAAAATTGATGATATAATAAATGAAGCCAAAAGTATTTGCACTGAACCCCAAGGCAACAAAAGGAGACGACGTAATAATAGCAGTCACGATCACCGAGTTGCCGCATTAGATGCGACAATATAGTGAATTCTGCAAATGACATTTCAATTCAAAGATCATTTGGTAGCCGTATCTCTTTTTCCCCAAACACTTTGGAGAATAATTTGGTAAGTTTCCTGATGACAAGTTGGAAACTACCTGCTTGGCTTATCCCGAATTAGAAAAAAGTCGTTTAAAGACTGAGTTGACTATTATTTATGCACGGAATGATTGTCGAGATTTACATGGAACTCCGTCTCTTTTCAAATTTTTGATACAAAATAGTTTGGAGAAAACACTAAAAGAAACACTGTTAGAAAATATTGTTACAACTCCTACGTCAACATCAGAGTCTGAGCGAAATTTCTCAACATTGTAAAGAATCAAGACTTTTCTTCGTAATACTATGACCCAGGATCGCCTTACAGCGTTGTCGATACTGTCCATTGAAAAGGAATTTATTTCGACCATGGAAAAGGAGCGCATGATCGAACTGACATATAAAAAATCGGTAAGTTCGGATTTGCAGAACACCTTTTTTATTTTGCCACGAGCCGCCACTACCTAGATGAAAAATTAATAGTCCATTAGCTAGGTTCGAGAAGATCAATTAGATCTTTCCTTGAAGGACACAGTGCACAAAAGAACAAGAAAGATAATTCAATTTCATATAGGCCAATTCCTTTACCTCCCTTACGAAAATGAAAGAAAAAACAAAGTGTTACTTCGAGGACAAATAAAATATATTGTCAGAATTGTCAGTTGTACTTGAAAAAAGTTACCGTTGGGATCAAGACGTCGTACAATAAAGAAGAATTTTAAACACATATGTAGTGTGATTCGAACAGATAAACATAAGATATTTATCTTCTCGGGGGTTAATGTTAATTTGCTACCGCATCTTCTGAGGAATATTTGCAAAAGGACAAATGGTTCAACGTTCAGTGTCCAAGCCGAGGTTGCAATTACAGCTGATATTTTTCCAAAAATTTTGGTTTTATTTAAAAACAAAACCAAACGTACCCATTGGGACACTCTATACTTACAATAATAATATTCATAAGATTACCAATAGCGTAAGTGGTAATTAATACTTTGCTTTTTAATTTCGTCTCCAGTTCTTTGAGAATGAGGTCATCCATGATGTACATTTTCAGATACGAAATTTCTTAGATATAATGTATCACCTGAAATCGCGTAAAATTCAGGGATTTTCTAAAATGCACCTGCTGGGAGAATTAAATATGGCCTGTGAAGCTTCTGTTAGTGACTTTGTAATCGCAAGATTCACAGCTGCGCAAAACTTTTGAGTGATAATTGAAGATAAAAAAAGGTAGAGAATGGCCATGCTTACGAAACGGAGTAGTCGTACAAGGTATATAACGCAATCATTATACCCAATACTGGGGGGAAATATATACTCGAATTATATCAAGTAAAGCCATACATTAACCTTGTTTCTTCCGATATTTCGTTTTTGTTATCAGCAATCGTAATTTCAAAAGCCCTCCATTATATATTTTTGTACATTAATCCAGTGCATCGCCCATAATTTGAAGGAAAGGTGCTTTTAGTTTTGTTGACAAAAGGCAACAAAAACGATTTAGCGTTGAACGAGCAGCGCATTATTCATTCCTGTATAAAATTACCTCAAGATGCGGTGATTTGGTTTTTGCATGTTCGTAATGAACAAGCATTCCTTTTTCACGAATTTGCGTTTTGCCAATTTTTTCCATATCATGGGCGTAGTATGGCGTACTGATTTAATAATAACTGAAATCAATACGAAGTCGATGAAAACCAAATGATATCATAATACGATAGAGTCGTTTAAAAATAAGATTCTCAACGCTGCAACACCGTCATGTTTGTCGGCTCCCCCACCACCGATCCTAACAAGAAGCGCCTATTGTCGATTGGTAATTTTAATTAAAAACGAAGCCTCGAAATTCCCCACATTACTTAAAATAAATACACCACAGTAACTTTACATATATAGCGTCATTGTTGATTATTACTTTTTTTTAGTTTCATCTCCAATTCGTGAGGATTATGTCATCCACGTGTGCATATTCAAATTGAAAAGTTCTTAAATATAAAAATCAGTATTTTCTGAAATGCATCTGCTGTTATAATTGAATATGGCCTTCGAAGCTTCAGTTAGTGGTTTTGTAATTTCGAGATTCACAGATGAACGGAACAATAATCGAAAATAGAAAAAGGTAGAAAAAAGCCATAGTTACTGAACGTTGTAGTCGTGGAAGGAATATGACACAATAATTATATGGGGTTGTCCAATAGGGACGCAGGAAAGTAAACGTCAATTTGACATAGACGCCATCTTTGTTTTCTGTCACCGACATGTCATTTTGTTAGTTGAATGTTTACCATTGATCGCTATGGGGTCGTATTCGATTGAAGACCGCATTAAAGTTATTCAAGAGCACTACAAAAATGGTGCAAAAATAAAAACACGTTTCGCGCGCCTCGTAAACATTTCGGTCGCAACAACCGCCCAAATGAAACAACCATCGGTCGTCTGGTGCGTAAATTAGAGGCAACAGTTCTGTGGCAAATCTGCCAGGCTCTGGCCGGCCAACGAGCGTTGGCACACCGGAAAATAATGCTGTTGTGAAGGAGAGTGTGAGAGACGATCCGAAACAATCAACAACGCGTCAATTCCAAGAACTGGGCATTTCGAGAACCAGTTTGCTCCGCATTCTCCACAAGGATTTGAATGTACACGCCTACAAGATCCAATTGACGCAAGAGCTGCGTCGGGCCGACCATTTTTCGCGCCGAACGTTCTCAGATTGGCTCCTTGAACACCGCCAAATTGATGCCAATTTTTCATCAAAAATCATGTGCGGCGAAGCGCATTTCACTTTGAATGGGACGGTAAACAAGCAAAACTGCCGCATCTGGGCGAACGAAAATCCCCGTGAGTATCAAGAGCAGCCGATGCATCCTCAAAAAGTGACTGTGTGGAGTGCATTGTGGTCAAAAGGCATCATCGGACCTTACTTTTTCGAAAATGCGGCCGGGGACGCCGTTACCGTCAATTCTGAGCGATATCACGTGATGATAGAGGACTATTTTTTGCCTCAACTTGAAGGAATGAATATGGACGATGTTTATTTCCAACAAGACGGTGCAACATGCCACACAACCAACGTCAATATCCATCGATTGCAGTCCTTCTTCGGTGATCGCGTGATTTCGCGCAGAGGAAATGTGCCATGGCCACCAAGATCGTGCGATTTGTCTCCCTTGGACTTCTTTTTATGGGAAAATTTGAAAAGCAAAGTCTACGTCAACAAACCAGCCACCCTCCAAGAACTCAAAAACAACATCATTGCCGAGATAAATGCCATAGAACCGACCATGTTGCAAAATGTCATTGAAAGTTTCGACCATCGCGTGGACGTCTGTAAATCCAG